TTCTCCAAAGAAGACATACAAAAGGCTAACAGACACATGAGAAAATGTTCAACATCACGAGCCATCAGGGAAATACAAATTGAAACCACAATAAGATACAACCTTACACCAGTTAGAATGGCAAAGGATGAATAAGACAGGAAACAACAAATGTTGGAGAAATGTTGGTGAAAGGGGAAGCCTCTTACACTGTTGGTGGGAATGCAAACTGATACAGCCACTCTGGAAAACAGCATGGGGGTTCCTTAAGACATTAAAAATAGATCTACCTACCCTATGACCCAGTAATTGCACTACTAGGTATTTGCCCCAAAGATACAGATGTAGTGAAAAGAAGGGACACATGCACCCCAATGTTCATAGCAGCAATGTCCACAATAGCCAAACTGTGGAAGGAGTTGAGATGTCCTTCAGCAGGTGAATGGATAAAGAAGATGTGGTCCATATACACAATGGAATATTATACAGCCATCAGAAAGGATGAATACCCATCATTTGCATCAGCATGGATGGATCTGGAGGGGATTATGCTAAGTGAAATAAGTCAAGCAGAGAAAGACAATTATCATATAGTTTGATTTGTATGTGGAAGTTAAGGAATAGTTTGGAGGACCCAGAGGGGAAGGGAGAGAAAACTGAATGGAAAGAAATCAGAGAAGGAAATAAACCATGAGAACCTCTGGACTCTGGGAAACAAACTGAAGGTTACAGAAGGGAGGGCGGTGGGGGGATGCGGTAACCGGGTGACGGATATTAAGGAGGGTGTGTGTGTGGTGATGATCACTGGGGGTTATATGCAACTAATGAATCATTGAACACTACATCAAAAACTAATGATGTACTGTATGTTGGCTAAGTGAACATAATAAAAACAAAATAAAATAAAATCTAGTTTGTCTGATATAAGTATGATGATTCCAGCTTTCTTTTGATGTCTATTAACATGATAAATGGTTCCCCATTCCCCTCGCTTTCAATTTGGAGGTGTCTTTGTGTCTAAAATGAGTCTCCTGTAAGCAGCATATTAATGGGGTTTTTAAAAAAAATCCAGTCTGATACACTATGTCTTTTGATTGGAGCATTTAGTGCATTTACATTCAAAGCAATTATTGATGAGTATGAATTTATTGTCATTGCATTACCTGTAAAGTCACTGTTCCTGTAAATTACCTCTGTTCCTTTCTAGGTTGTTGTTGTTGTTGTTGTTGTTGTTGTTGTTGTTGTTGTTGTTGTTTTGATTGTGGCCTCTCCTTCCTGCTCGAAGGGTCCTCCTTCATAAGTCTTGCAGGCCTGGGTTTGTATTTACAACTTCTTTTGTCTTGGAAACTCTTTATCTCTCCTCTATTCTGAATGACAGCCTTGCTGGCTAAGATATTCTTGGCTGCATCTTTTCCCCCTTTGGCACATTCACTATATGATGCCACTCTCTTCCCGCTTGCCAGATTTCTGTGGACAACTCTGCTGCTAACCTTACATGTCTACCCTTGTAGGGACCTTTTGTCCCTAGCTGCTTTCAGAATTCTCTCTTTATCTTGCATTTTGCAAGTTTCATAGTGATATATCTTGGGGTTGACCTGTTTTTGTTGATTCTGAAGGTAGTTCTCCATGCTTCTTGGACTTGAATGCCTATTTCCTTCCCCAGATTAGGAAGTTTGTAGCTGTACATTGTTGAAATTAGCCTTCTGACCCTTTTTCCTGCTCTTTTCTTCTGTGACTCCTATGATATGGATATCATTGTGCTTGACGGAATTGCGGATTTCAATGTCTACTTCCATGATCTAGTAGTTTTCTTTCTCTCTTCTTTCCAGCTTCATTATTTTCCATAATTTTATCTTCTATCTCATCTATTCATTCCTCTACTTCTTCTTTGTTGTGATTGCATACAGTGGGTTTTGCATCTCATTTATAGCATATTTTAATTTCAGCCTAACTAGGTTTTAGATTTTCTACCTCTGCAGCAAGGGTTCCTCTGGTGTCTTCTACTTCTTTTTATTTTTTTTTTAAGATTTTATTTATTTGTCAGAAAGAGAGAGTGAGCACAAGCAGGGGGAGTGGCAGGCAAAGGGAGAAGCAGGCTCCCCACTGACCAAGGAGTCCAATATGAGACTCCATCCCAGGACCCTGGGATCATGACATGAGCTGATGGCAGATGCTTAACTGACTGAGTCATCCAGGTGTTCCTCTCTGGTGTCTTCTATGCTTCTTTCAGCTTGAAAGAAGCTAGCATTTTAATGATTATTGCTCTAAATTCTTGTTCAGATATATTGCTTTTATCTGTTTTGAGAAAATCCCTAGATGTGATTTCCTCTAGACCTTTCTTTTGGGGAGAATTCCTCTGCCTTCTCATTTTGTATGTTTCCTGTTCCTCAGATTAATGCTACATTAAGAAGTGTCATACACTGTTGAGGACATGGTGCTTCAGGAAGTGCTCCCGGTGTAAGTTATGTTCACTATGCTGTTGTAGTTTGGCTGCTCTTTACCACAGGTCAGTCCTCTGCAGAGCTGCACCTTCCTTGTGGTGGGGAGCATTTGCACTTTAACTAGGTGTGCTTTGATTTGTTTGTTAAAATAATTCTGGAGAAAAAGAAAGGACAAAGAAAGAGAAAGAAAAGGAAAAGAAATGAAAATGAACAAACAAAAAAACTATAAGGCTGTTCTGAAAGAAAACGAAAGGAAAAAGAAAAAGAATAAAAGAAAACCTGATCCAAAAAAAGAGAAAAGGAAATGAAAAAACGAATAGAAGTCTAATTTGAAAGGTTGGGAAAACAGACAAAAAGAGAAAACGAAATAAAAATGGAAAGAAAGAAAGCCTGGTACTATTTCCACCAGAACTGTACCGATGGTTTGGAGCACTCTATAGACTTGACACGTGCAGGAGACCTTGGTTGATTTTCTGAGGGAGAGACCCACTGTGTTGGCTCACAGTCAGACTTGCCCTAGTAAAGATGCCCGAGCCAGGCATAGGGTGGAAGGGTTTAGCGCAAGCAGCTCCTGCCTCCACGGGGAGCACTGTGTTTTTCTCTGATATCTGGCCACCTCGGTTAGCTAGGGGTGGGGTGATATTGATGCCACCCCACTCTTGTCTGTGGAAGGGGATCTCAAACCTGTTGCTATTCAGGAAACCCTCACAGAAAAGTGAATAATCTCCTATCCTGTGTCCCAAGCTCCCATCAGATCCCTGCCCTCACCCTGTCTCTGTCCAAGTGGTTGACACACCCACTGCCACACTTCTGTGTTTTATCTATGGTACCTGGCTGGGATTCAAACCTCCAAATGCCAAAGGATATGGTGCAGCCTGGACACACTCCCTTACCACTGAGAGCCTCACAAAGCTCTCAGTGAGAATATTTTTTAACATCCTTTTTTTTTTTTTTTTTTTTTTTTAGGATTGTGTGGGGAGAACACATAAAGTTCCTTATTCAATGTCTAGAATATAGTAAGTGCTTACTAAATGCTATCTATTACCAATCATTATGCACCCGGTTCTGAGAGGAAACTGAGGACTCAGGAGGCAAACATGGAGTTACACCCAGAATTGCAACCCAGGCTGTCCCACTTCCAATCTTTCTCCACAACTGCCCATCATGTGCTAGGTACAAAGCTGGTACTGATCCAAGCAAGGGAAGGAGTCAGGCTCCAGAGTCCCTGGGCCTGGGCCAGAAAGGGGTGGTAAGTAAGCATAGAAATGGAGGAAAGTTGAGAGGTTAACAAGGTTACACACACTTGGGTTTGGACAGGAGCCCAGGACTTAGAGATAAATGGAGAGAACTGTGGCCCTATGGGTTATGTAATAATTCTCCTGTCACAAGGTCAGCCACAGGAGGAAGGTGTAGGAATAACAAGGTAGATGGAGAGGAACATGGCAGGAGGAAAATCTGCCTTCCAAAGAACTCCCGACAAAAACATCTTGTTTTCCTTTCAGAGTAATGGGCTTGGAGTCAATTTGGGGGAAGAGAATCAGGAATGAAGTGAGGCTGAGAGACTTACTTGTCCTCCTCAGATGTGCTTTCATATGGTCTCCATGAGTCTTCAGTGCCCATCTCATTCCCTAGCACTCATCACCTGGTGAATTCCTATTCACCCTTCAGGGCCCCTTTCATGTTTTTAGTTGTCTCCTTCCTGGGTGGACCCACCCCCTTATTCATTCTTTCAGTACAGGCCTTATCATGTTTTCCTGTACTACGTTCGTTTTCTGCCTTTATCTCTCAGACTGTGAGCTGAGGAAACATTTGCTAAGTGCATGTGTGACTGAATGAGCATTCCTTGGGAAAGGGATGATTACCCCCCCTTACAGTAGGAGAACCTGAGGCACAGAGAGTATGACTGGCTGGTTTCATATGTAATGAGCGAGCCCTGGATTGGGCCTCCTGAGTGTGAGGCCAGTGCTCTGCCTGCTGGCACAGTCATCCCAGAACATCACTGAATGATGGGCTGGGACAAGCATGGGGAACAACACAGAGGCAGCTGAGGCAGACAGTTTGGAGACCCCTGATTCTAATCACAGCTGACACTCTCAATGGTGGTTTTCCTGTGGTCTCATCGTGTTAGCTCTCTGTAAGTGTTTTCCTCTCACAAATGGGATAATAATCAAACCAAACCCACTTCCTGAGCATTTGGTAAACTAGACTGTGAAGTTTTTGCTGTCAGGATTTATGTCTGTTGTCAGGATTCATGTTTTCTGGCAGCTGTGTCCCAGCATATAGCACCTGCCTGGCACAGAGTAGGTGCCCCTGAAATGTTTGTTGAATAAATAGGGAGAAGAGCAAGTGGGAACGTGCCCAGCCATTATCACTGTCTGCTGACAAAGCTTTCCTCCCACAGTTTCCCATTAACATCCTCACAGTTAATGAACTTTAGAAGTCTAGTCTAAGCCCCGCCCTCACCCTTCACCCTCCCTCCAGGTGGGCAGGGCCATCCTCCCCTGACTGTCTGGGCTGGGATGCTCAGGGAAGGTCAGCAACAGTCAGGGACAGTCAGGGAAAGTCAGCGATCCAGCAGCCCCTGCACCATGAGTATCTCTGTGCTGAGTGTCATCAATCCCCTGAGCGGTGTCCCTGGGCTCCTGAAAGTGGCCTCCGTGCTAGGGCTGGTTCTGCTGCTGCTCAAGGCAGCACAGCTATACCTGCACAGGCAGTGGCTGCTCAGAGCAGTCCAGGAGTTCCCGTCCTCTCCTTCCCACTGGCTCTTCGGGCACAGGCATGAGGTAGGAAGGGGCTGGACTGGGGATGGAAGGGTAAGGTCGGCTGGGGAAGGCAGCAACCACCCACCCAGCACTAGCTGTGTGCCAGCACTGGCTTGGTGTGAGGGCTGCCCATGGCAAAGGGAAAACCCACATGTGGAGGGGCTCACCAAGGGTTTATGGTTTCAACAAATGGTCAAAGTCCATTGCGGAGTTGTAGTCAACAGACCCAAGTAACCCAATAGCATTTTGGTAAATGATGACTTGATGAATGAACAAATGCATGAGGAAGGGATTCTAACGGCCAATTCAGAGTGTCCAAATCTTCCCCCAAAACTTGGGCTTCCCTCCATCATAACATTAATTATCCTCTAGTGTCATGGCCTCTTAATCTGTTGTCATCAAAGTAGTATTAATACACAAATTTAAATTTTGAAATACAATCTACTTTATGCTCCAAATAAAATTGTATGGCACAATTGCTTACCATGTGATAAAAGTTGTCATAAGTTTATCATGCAAATGTTGGCTTCCAGTAGTTTTGTACACCATGGAGTTAATCCCTGACAAGTTTCTGTAGGCTGTTGATTGTGAAGGCCACTAATGCACTCGACAATGGGACATAACCTAGCTTAGGATAAACCTTGGACAGCCAGGAAAGTCTGGATCAGAGCCAAAGTCATAAGAAACAATTCTGAACACTTAGTTTGCTGATGGATCCAGAACTCTCTTCTTATGCCCATCCTGCCCTTACCCCTGGATCTAGCCACGGAACCAGAAGAAAGGTTTTATTGCTTTCCTTTCTTTCTTTCTTTCTTTCTTTCTTTCTTTCTTTCTTTCTTTCTTTCTTTCTTTTTTTTTTAAGATTTTATTTATTTATTTGACAGACAGAGATCACAAGTAGGCAGAGAGGCAGGCAGAGAGAGAGGAGGAAGCAGGCTCCCCGCAGAGCAGAGAGCCCGATGCGGGGCTCGATCCCAAGACCTTGAGATCATGACCTGAGCCGAAGGCAGAGGCTTTAACCCACTGAGCCACCCAGGCGCCCTATTGATTTCTCTTTCTTTTGGTGACAGTTGCAAAAAGAAGAGCACCTGCAACTGCTACTGAAATGGGTAGAGAAATTTCCATGTGCCTGTCCTCGCTGGCTATGGGGCACAGAAATGGAGGTGGTGATCTACGACCCTGACTACATGAAGCTGATCCTGGCACGATCTGGTGAGAGGACACCCGCATGCCTGTTGAAGCAGCTCTTCCCTCTTGGATACATGCCCAGGGGTCTGTGAACTTGCACAAGACACTGGAGGCTCAGCTATCAATACATGACTCTCTACCTATGACCCTCCCAGCATACAAGCCAGCAGAAGGCCAGATATTATTTAAATTGAATGTGGAAACAGCTGTGTTGGGCTGCTTTTTTCCTTTTCTATTCCTTTCTCTTATCCTTTCTGTTGTGCACTGTTCATTCTGTTCTTCTCCCCTTCTTTCCTTCCTTCCTTTCTCTCCTCCTTCCTTCCTCCCTTCCTCCTTTCTGCCTGGCTGTTGCCGTCTTTCCTTCCTTTCTTAACCAAATTGAGACCATTCCATATCTGAAAGACAATTTCTTATACAAGATAACTTCAGTTTGGTACTTTTAAGTGTTCTCTATGATGGGTAATGGTATGGCTGAGTCACCACGATTCCTCAAAATACCTGAGACTCTGTCTTTTCACTGGCACTAAAACAGAGCCCTTGTTTCTTCTGAATATACCTACCTGATCCAGTGGGGCTCTGCAGGGGGACTTTGAGTCTGCCTTCCCGAGCCTTCAGTGACTATCAGGAAAGAAAGAGAGTTCGCGTTGGAAGCAAGTAGGAGGTGCCTTGACACTAACTGCCAGCTAACAATCATCGGAGAGGGATGGGGGACAATGGTCTGAAACATAGCTACCTCCGGGGGACAGCATGCCTATGTTGGTCACCTTCAGTTTCCTGTAATGCCCTTCTTACTTTCAGACCCAAAGTCTGATGATTCCTACAGATTCCTAGCTCCCTGGCTAGGTAAGTACATTTAATTATGACTGTGGTTTACCTTCTGCTTAGGTTTACCAACACCTATCCATTTGACCCAGATTAAATAAGAGGTGACCAGCACCACAGTCACTTCACTTAACTCTGAGTTGAGTCTCCATTCTCTTCTTCTAATAAAAACCTCACCCCTTCCTGATGGTGGGGGAGACCTCCTGATTCTCCGTTTATCCCACATCCCTTCTGAGTCCTCGCCAATGATCTCAGCCCAACTTTTCACTAAAGTCCTTCTATAAACCAGCCTTAGCTCTGTTTCAGGCTTGATTTTTGCAGCTGTCATAACCACTTCCTGCGCACCAGGCTTCAGAAAGTCCCCTTCCTGACATGCACCGTCCTTTCCTGCCTTGCCCAGGATGCCCTTCTTCTGACACCCTGGGTTCCTCCCCAGTTGTCCCCAGACAACTCTTGGGAGGTTCCTCCCCACCACACACACCCATTGTGGTCCAGGGTATGGTTTGCTCCTGTTGAATGGGCAGACGTGGTTCCAGCACCGGAGAATGCTGACCCCAGCCTTCCACTATGACATCCTGAAGCCCTATGTGGGGCTCATGGCCGACTCTGTCCAAGTGATGCTGGTAAGTTCAAACCCTGCCCACCTGCACACTCACACCCACAGCACAATTCACAAAGTCCACTCTCAGACAGCTGTGTCCTTCAGACATCCATTAGACATGGCCCCCAGATTCACCCACTTATACCATATTATGAGACAGGTCCCCCTGAGGATAGATGGAATAGGAAAGGACCCAGGCACCTATTTTCTCCACTCTTTGCTCATTGCCCATAGGAGAGTCAGTCATGGTGGATAAAAGGTCCCTTCTCCTCCTGCTTTCATGTGTTTGATTTGGGCAGGAAGAGTAGTCAATGCCCCTAGACAACAGGACAAGCTTCTCCTGGCTGGTCTGGGCAGTAGGAGCTTCAAAGGCATTGTGGACATCCCATGTGGCCACTCAGGTGGGCTCTGGGCTGGGGCTGAAGGCTTCTGATGGGTTTTAGATGCTCTGCGGAGGGAAATGGAGACCAGGTCTCTATCCCCAAAGCTGGGTCCTGCCATAACATCAACTCTGAGCATGACTCTATTTCTCATTCACTGTGCTCAACTGACATTTGTTGCAAAAGGGGAACTGAAGTCCCTGATATCCCTTCTTTAGAAACCCCAGTCTTAGCCCTTTGACCTTTCCTTTGCCTTGACTCTTGCTCCCTAAATTGGGACTTCACCTGTTTTTCATGTGTAGTTCAACCCCAAGACACAAATGTTTACCCTGAGTCCCCTGAAAAACAATGTTTTCTGATCTGCTAAAAGGCGATTATTACCAAACTTCTTCCTAAGTCAGATGGTAAGAGATCATGATTAATTAAATGAAAATTAACTAACAACTTTCTCAGAGTATATTCTGAGAAAATACTCACCGCATTACAAACAAATGGCTATATGGTCCTAAACTGATGAAACACAACTGCTTTAGAAAGTGAGGGCATCTTTCAGAATATTTGGAGAGGCAGAGAGAGAGTCTAGCCTTGTTAGCATGGGTCTTTTAAAGGAGTAGAGAAAGGCATATGTGTCCCTCTACCACAGGACAAATGGGAGGAGCTCCTCAGCCAGAACTCATCTCTGGAGATCTTTGGACACATCTCCTTGATGACGTTGGACACCATTATGAAGTGTGCCTTCAGTGACCAGGCCAACCACCAGACAGAAAGGTTAGTGAAATCCTTATTAGGTGCAGGGTCCTATTTCTTACCAACTTGGGTGAACGTATCTGAGAGGCAGTTAGGACAGCTCCGATGTTTACCAGCCCAAAGAGTCACGTTCTGCAGAGAACCCCTGGCCCCAGTTAAATTCAGCCCGCAACAACCCTTCATTAGGCACAGACCCTGCTCTCTGCCACAGGAAGAAACCTGGATGCCCATGTCCCTCATAAAGGGCTAAGAGTCTCGAGGGTATAAGAACAACATGACAAATGCCGAGAGTTGCCTGTCCCATTGATTGTGGAATGCTCCATACACAGGCCCACTACACTCCAGGTCACATGCCTCCTTCCATCCAGTCCATTCTGCATCCTCCCCTTTCAGGAACTCCCAGTCCTACCTTCAAGCAATTTGGGACCTGAACAACCTGGTGTTTTCTCGGATGATGAATGTTTTCTACTGGAAAGACATCATCTACAGGATGACCCCTGAAGGCCGCTGGAACCACCGGGCCTGCCAGCTTGCCCATCAACACACAGGTTGTATCTGCCCTCTGGGAAGCTCCCCTCCTTCACCAGGCACATCCCAAAGGGTCTGGCCCTGACCCTCAGGCTGAGTCCTGCCCCGGGCTGCCCTTCCAGGACCTGGGAAACACCCACCTGGGTACTCCTCTGGTGCAGGTGTTAGGGTGCCAGGTGCTATGCAAGCAGCTACATGTGTCACCCCACGGGTGAAGGTTGAATGAGAGCCCCTGCCAGCAGCATTCAAGCAGAGCCTCCTTGGGCTGTGCTGCTGAGGGGAGTGACGACCTGAAGCACTTGGTGCTAGAGGTCCCACCCCAACAAACACACCCACTCCCATAACTCCTCCTGATCCACCTGGCACCCTGACTGGGGCTACTGTGAGTTTCTGTGTCTGGGCACCCAGAGCGTTCAGCTCTGCCTGGGAACACTGTTCTGGATAGACCGAGTGATCAAGCTGAGGAAGGCTCAGCTGCAGGAGGAGGGAAACCTGGAGAAGGTCAGGAGCAAGAGGCACTTGGACTTCCTAGACATCCTCCTCTTTGCCCAAGTGAGTGTGGCAGGGAAGGCCTGAGGCTTGTCCCACGAGTGTGAAGGAGGGGGGCAAACTCAAACCTGCCCTTGCTCTGTGTCTTCCCAGATGCAGAACAGGAGCAGCCTTTCTGACAAAGATCTCCGTGCGGAAGTGGACACCTTCATGTTTGAGGGCCATGACACCACAGCCAGCGGCATCTCCTGGATCCTCTATGCTTTGGCCACACACCCAGAGCATCAGCAGAAATGCCGGAAGGAGATCCAGAACCTCCTGGGGGGTGGTGTCTCCATTACCTGGTGAGTGCTCATGAGATGGGAGGCCCTTCCTTTTCAAGTAGAGAATTCCCTGGCTGCCAGGGCCTTGCCCACCCTTCAGGATAGCTTTGTTTTAGGGACCACCTGAACCAGATGCCCTACACCACCATGTGCATCAAGGAGGCACTGCGACTCTATCCGCCAGTTCTAGGTGTTGGCAGAGAGCTCAGCAAGCCCATCACCTTCCCTGATGGACGCTCCTTACCCAAAGGTGTGAACTTCCCCATTCTCACTCATAAACTGTCAGCAGGAATGCATGAGAGACCAGAAATCCACACGTACACCACATTAGTGCATGTCTTTGAGACACCTTTCCCCCTCAGGAAAACCAGTATTTCATTTGTTGTTCAGATGAGGTATATGGTGTTCTTTGCACAGAGCTTACATCCAAGAAATAAAAACCCGATAGTCTCTGAATGTGGTTTTGTGTTTTGCCCTAATATTCTCATTCCTTGAGATATGAGTGCTTGAGAGAAAATCAGATGGGACCGGGGGAGATGTGGTCTTTCCTTATAGGGTCTCGGCTAATGAGAGAGATCAGAGAATTCACCATCATGGCTCAGATGGTCCAGTCTCCAAGGAGCCCTCAGGATGATGGCAGAGAGTAGCTGATGACCAGATCTCAGATCCCTGCCATAGCTGGAGGCCACTGTTCGTCTCCTCTCTGCTCTGAATCCCAGCCCTGACACATCCTAGCTCGGTGGTCAGAGGCAAGTTGCTCAGTTTCTCTGAGAATCAGGTGCCTCATGGGAATGATGGAGATGTGAGCCTTCATTGGAAGGTTATTGTGAGGATGTAAGTGTTCATGGATATTTCCAAGAGGTCACGGATGGTAGTTGATAAATGTGAGTTGTCCCTTGAGTTGCTCCAAAAAGTAAGCCTCCAGTCCCTTCCTGCTTCTCAGCCTGGTCATGGTTAATCTTCTAATCTGTGCACACATGCACACCTGTTGTGCCATGTCTGCCCCATCTCTCCTGCAACGCTATCATTCCATTCACAGTGATGAGGAATGGCTCTCAATGTTGCTGCCAAGCTCTGTGTGTGGGTGCAGCTGGGCCCCACAAGCATGTATGTCTAGCCTTCTCTCTTCTGGTCCCCAGGTTTCTTGGTGACGCTCTCCTTTTATGCCCTTCACCACAACCCAAAGGTGTGGCCAAACCCAGAGGTATGATGACCTTGGGCAGAAGAGGTGGGATGACCTCTCCAGATCAAACCCTCTTCTTGGCCCACCTCTGTCAAGGGTGTATGCTGTCCCTTGGATGGTTGGAAGGAAGGTCTTGACCACACCTGTCCTGGCCCTGGTGCTCCCTCTGCAGGTGTTTGACCCTTCCCGGTTTGCACCAGGCTCCTCTCGACACAGCCATGCTTTCCTGCCCTTCTCAGGAGGATCAAGGTGAGGCACTTGTACCAGAATGGGAGGAGGCAGGGGCTATTTTGGGGGTACATACTTGATGTTTGTGACTTGCTACATTGATGTGGGTTTCTGTAGATATGTCCTGGCATGTTGGAGTGCTGAGAAAGAGGTATGTGTCTCTACGCAAAGAAAGTTGGTAATCACTGAATGCCATGGAGACTTTGACCCATTGCTCTTACCCAATCTCCAGCCACAATTCAGTGTCAGCGGGTATTCCACAGCTCAGGGTATTCTTGTGAGTTCTTCATTTTGTGAGTATGACTTTACAGAATTAGATTTTCTCACATGTAATTTTCAAGTGTTGTCAAAGTCAAAGACAGGATGGACACAAAAGTTTTCGTTGCACACAATCTCAAACCAGCCTTTTCTACTCAACTCCCCATTCTGCCTCCACACTGCACCATTGACTACATTCCATGTTTCCATACTCAGCATCCTGCATGCCTCAAATATTTCAGCCATACACAGGAAAGGTTCCTCTGTCTCTTAAGTGCTTCATAAAGTACTCGACTAATCTGTGTTGTTGCTATATTTTCTTCAACCAAATGAATTATTGACTCTATAGTAATGGTCATGTACACTTGACAATTTTCCCAGTTGTCCAATCAGTACATATGATCTGGGCTCTATATACTTTAATATTACACTTAGAGTCCAGACATCCAAATGGGCAAATATATAAAAATGAGGACCTTTAATTGCTTTTGGAAGAAAATACAATCTGTTGTATATATATGATACATGGCATTTGAACATTATCTGGTGTGTAAAATGTAAAGCACACGTGAAGTAGCAGTTCAGTGGGATGACTATTGTCCAGTGTGGCTGCTGTGAAATCCTCCAGTGCTGCTGAAACTGTCCTATAAATAGTAACTGCAGGAAACTTTGTAAGCAGTTCTTAGAAAAATGTATTTTTCCAAACACAGAAATCTGTCAGTCCTTCACATACAGAGTGAACCCACTTTCACACCACATCTTTACGCAAATTGTGCTTCCAGATACTGGCTCCAGGATTTGTTTCTCCCTGGGATTGAGTCCTTCCTCCTAGACATTGGTGCAAGTCATGTGGCTGCCAGTAGAGAGAGGAGAGGGGTAGACAGCTCAGTTCCTAGCTCAGAATTAATGGTTACTCATATTTTATTCCATTCAAGGTGGGTTTCTTTTTCAGTTCAATAGACATCATTCAGTTTTAATACTGTCTATTAACCCTGTCTCTGTGTGCCAAGTCCTCTGCTATGAGATGGCATAGTGCCCTTGCCTCCAGGAGTTCACAGTCAAGAAATAAATGCCTCCACTCAAAAGAGACTTCCTTCCTTCCTTCCTTAATTTATTTCTCTCTCTCTTTCCTTTCTCATTTTTTCTTTCCTTCTTTTATTCTTTCTTCCTTCTTCCCACCCTCTCTCCATCCCTCCCTCCCTCTCTCCCTTCTTCCTTCCTTCCTTCCTTTCTTCCTTCCTCCCACCGTTCCTCTCTCCCTCCTTTTCTTCCTTTCTTTTTTACGTGCACTCACTCATTTACTAATTGACTCCACTGTAGGAAACTCTATGTTCCTGGCACTATCCAAAATGGAAAATGATGTGTCCTTGACTAATGTATTAGGGTGATGTCAGGGTCCAGGAATGAAGAGCACAGTGGGCAGAGGTGGGGGTGAGGGCAAGCTGGCATTGCCCTTAGCCTTGAGCATGTAGCAGGCAGAGGTGGAGGGAGAGCATTCCTTGGGATCTCCTCAGCAGGAGCTGAGTTGGGAGGAGGAGGAGTTGAGCAGGTGACAAGTGAGTGAGCCAACAACCCAGAGAGGACTTTGATGTCAGCTGAGGCATGTGGACATGTTGTACCTGTGATGAAGGGCAAGGGAGGCTCTGAGCTTGGCTGGGGCTTCACAGGAAGGAAGTGAAGGTTGGGAGCAGAAAAGTCTGGGTGAGGAGGTAGAGGGATGGCAAGCAGAGACATTTCTGCAGTAGAATTGGAAGACTACAGCAGCTGGTTGACTGAGGGGCTGAGGGGGAGGCAGGAGTCTGGACCCAACCTGGCAGGTGATGGTGCAGCAGGTTGAGAGTCACTAAGGCTCACCCCCTGCAGAAGCTTCTCTGTGCCATTCTAACTTCCTTATCCAACTCTGTCTTGTCCATCCTTTGAGGATCTGGACCCCTGTGTGCTCCAGATGGTTAGGGCCTGAAGGATGGCCCAGCCCACCACCTCTGCTGCCCTATCCTGCTCTCCCCATTGTGAAACCAGAAATGGCTTGTACAGAGAGCAACCAAATTAATAATTAACTGTTTTAGTGATCACTAGACTTAGCCCTGAGGCACAAGGTGCTGACCTTCTTGTAATGGTATTTCATGCCTACTGAGAGAACAGATGGGAATAGAAGCTAATCCTGGAAGAGCGTAGGCTTTGTCAAAGGTCAGGGGGAGAGAGTGAAAGAAGCAAGGCTAGGTAGGTGTAGAGATGTGCGTGTGTCTTGAGGAAAAGGGATCCAGGCTGGGCCCATGCAGGAGGCCCCTGAATGTGCTGTTCCTGGCAGGGGGTTTGAGGCCACTTCTCATTTCCTTTTCCCTCCCTGACCCAGGAACTGCATCGGGAAGCAGTTTGCCATGAACGAGATGAAGGTGGCGGTGGCCTTGACACTGCTCCGTTTTGAGCTGGCCCCAGATCCTTTCAGGGTCCCTGTTCCCACTCCAAGAATTGTGTTAATGTCCAAGAATGGGATCCACCTGCATCTCACGAAGCTCCTCGAACCCTTGTGGGGACAAGGATGAGCCCCGATGGCCTCCTGCTTACCATCATGTCAGTCTCTCCTGTCTGCTGTCTTCTGCCCACTTCCCACTTTCACTCTGCCCACAGCCAGTCTCCTGCTCTCATCCTCTTGTGCATCAGACTGTCTGTCCTTCTCCATCTCACCCTTTCCCAAGATTCCTACCTGTTTGCCTGTTACCGTTCTCCTACCCAGCTGTAGCTCTGACTATCCATGTAAGTCATGATCAGCTGCCTGTCCCCCAGGCTGTCTGCCCTCTCCCCATTGCTGTTCCTTTCTGCCTGCTTTCTGTTCCTTGCTGCTTAACCACATTACACAGACTTGGTTCCTTAAAAGAGCACAAGTTGATGATCCTGTAGCTTAGCCGATCAGAAATAGGGAATGGGTTTCCCTGGCACAACAAAGGTGTAACAGAACCGCTAAGGGAGAATCTCTTCTCTTGCATTTTCTACCTTCTAAATGTCTGCTCTTAAGGCTATTCAGTGAGGGGATTAGGCCTCCCCGTTTATCAAGGAAATACCCTGTTCTTAAATGCAATTGATTATAGATGCTAACAGTACCCATGAAATTTTTAGTGCAACACCTAGACTTTTGTTTAATTGAATAACGGGGACTCCAGCCAATCCAAGCTGATACATAAAGCTAGTCATCGCAGTCTACCATGGGTCCTCTTATCATTCACACATTCCATTAAACCATACTCCAAAAATTAAGTATAATAAAGTCACACGTCTACCAGCTAACCTTCATCTGATTGAATGCGTGTTGATCCTTTTCCCCAACCACAAAGCAAAGTCATTGGAGGGTATTCTCTCTTCTCCCTAAAATCCTGTGACCTATATGCTATGATACAAAGTTGACTATTAGTACCACATATCTGGGTTCTGCACAGGATATAAGACAAGAAAGAAAAAATTTGACACCCGTGTGCACACATGCATAATCATATTCATAACAAAGCAGGAAAATGCTAGAAATAATTTCCCTCTTTATTTCTATAACTTAGGACATGGCCATCCTTAGCATTTATAACAGCCTTCTTCCACTACCTATTCCATACTTGCTTTACCCTCTGAATGCCCCTCAGTCGGTTGTGGGGTTTTTGTTTTGTTTTGTTTTGTTTTTGCCTGACGGCATGACCTAGACCCTCACTCTTAAAGTATCTGGGCCATCACTAGTCTTGCCTGAATTGGACTGTGGCATTTTCCCATTTACTTTCATGACAGGGCAAGGTAGTTCTATGAGATGCCCATGTATTTCCTCTATTCCAAGCATATTTTTTCTTACCTTCATGGTAAGGAAACTGCCAATTTCCTCCTTGGTAATCGGGATCGATCCAGTACAGTCACTGCTTCTGAGTTAGACCCATGAGGAGCCTAAAGTGTCCAGGAGTTATCTTCGCATAGTCATTCTTGTGTCTCCTGGTGGAAGCACTCCTACTTTTGGAGGTAAGATCACTAGGACAACAAAACACAAGGTTGTAGTGATAAGTACTCCAAGTTTTGCTGATCAAATCACTGGGGGTAAAAATGAGTGGTGTTTCTCCTATTTCCACCCTTTAAGTCCTGGGTGGGAGAGTCCTGGCTATGAGAGACACAGCACCATATATTGGACATTGATTTAAAGCAGATGCAACCTCCTGGAGAGCCTTCCTTCAACCCTGCTAGTTATTGCCACCTAGCTGGTGCTGTATACCCAAATCTATCCTGAGGTAATTTCTCTGCTTCTGGAACACCTAGCTGGAATAGATATCCTCCCCAACTGGCAAAGAAGACTCAGTAGAATTTAGGGGTTTGATGGCTCCAGTTTTATGGGGCTCTTCCCATATGTCCCCATTCCAGATTCTCAGTGTTCTCATTGTAACAGAAGATACCCTGGAAGATACGGAGTTCAGTTTGCTGATAATTCAGACACAGGCATGATGATATCTGGGTTTAGTTTCAGAATCTGGGTCCTGGCTAAAGCTTGTTGCTACAGGTCAGAGTGATCTTCAGTGCAGACATAGAAGCTTTCAGGTTATTTATTTATTTATGTCTGAGAATTTGAATCCTCCACATTGTTCTTCCCTTTTTGCACTTTCTCCAGTACAACATGGACATCCAGTGAATCTTGTTATGTATGCTCCTTAGTATCACTAACATGTTTTAAGGCATCCAATACTTGGTCACCAGAACCTTGCCTTTTGCAAGACTTTGATTAGCAGCATCCAATGGTGAAGCCTTGTGTAT